TGGCTGTCCCCAGGGCTCATGCCTGGGTCCCAATCTTATGGAACCTGGTTGCCAACACGATATTTGATCTTTACAATGGTGATGAGACTGTCAAAGTCCAGGCATTTGCCGACGACTTTCTGCTTTTGGTCACTGGAAGAACACAGACTGCAGGAGAATGTACAGCGAGCACTGAACCTCTTTGCACAATGGGCAGCCGATCACAAATTGGAAATTTCAGCGTCCGAAAACTAACATTTTACTCATAGGGCGTAAAGGTCCACTGAGGCGGAATCCAACTATAAGATTATTAGGTCATCCAGTTAGGACTGTTTCCCAGTTGAAATATCTAGGTGTCATCATAGACAACCGCCTCAACTGGATTCCACATTTGCATCATATACACCAGAAAGTAGTATCTCTTACCAATAACATGAGACGAACTACTGGCATGTATTGGGGCATTAGACCAGACATGTTGAAGATCTGGTATCGTACAATAACAGCGAGGGTGATTTTGTACGGGTCTTCAGCATGGGGTATTCATCTTAATGGAAACCTGAGAAGGAAACTCAATTCTATTCAGCGTCTCCAACTCCTCATGATTACTAAAGCTTATAGGACCACCTCGACAGATTCATTGCAGGTGCTCGCTGGGTTACCACCATTGGATCTTGTCGTGGAGAGAGAGGCTGGACAAGCACGGATCCTACGCATAAAGAAAGATTTTATCTTGTGGGGTACCCATTACCGCTCTCGTGATTACGAGGATCATTCCCCTCGTTCTCTGGGACATCCGGCGGACATAAATTATGATGACAAAGTCACCATAGAGCCCTTAATTCCGGCTAGGCACGAAATTTGTCTTTATACGGATGGTTCCAAAACGGAGCTTGGCACAGGTAGCGGCTTCTGCGTCATGCGAGGCAATACTATCTGCTACACTTGGTCACAGAGGCTGTCAGATTACAATAGTGTATTTCAGGCGGAACTTGTAGCAATTAAGGCAGCATTAGATTATATTAAGCAAAATCTAACAGGACCAGTCAGAATACTGAGTGATTCAGCATCGAGCCTACTGGCCATTAAAGAACTCAACAGCAAAGCGGATTCTGTCCACATTATTAGGGATGCTCTACTTCAGATTCCCGAGTCCCAACGACCGTACTTGAGCTGGGTTCCAGCGCATGTAGGCATTGCTGGAAACGAAGAGGCCGATAGGCTTGCTAAGCTAGCAGCTAACGACTTGAATATGCCTGTAACACCCCTAAAAGCACCAGTTTCCTATTTAAAAAAGATTACCGAACTCAAAATGTTAGAAATTTGGCAACAGAGATACAACAACTCCACCACAGGCCGCAGAACCTTTCGTTTCTTCCCCAAAGTTGGTCTGAATCTGGTCACTAGTAGTGCTCATCTTACACATTTCTTTACTGGACACGGACCATTTCCAAGCTATTTACGGCGCTTCAGATTAGCTACTTCAGACAGTTGTAGATGTGGAACACTAGGTGATCCGGATCACTTTGCTTTCGAATGCTCTCTCACGATACCATTTCATTTAAAAAAAAACCCTCTGAAGCACACACTGGTCCGGGTGGTCAGACACCCTCAAGAGAAGTAAGCTCGCATTTAATCAGATTCATCGAGTAATGGACATTTGTGCTCGTGAATTCTGTTGAACAGAAGCGGTGTCAACAGCAGCTACAGCAGGCAATTCTATTACCAACAACTATAGAAGATCATACTTTCATAATTCTTACCTTACAAATTTGGTATCTTACTATATACGATAATATTCAACTACTGAAATTAGGACAATTTCAGAGACTAATGGCATGCCATTGTACCTATGTTACGTATATGCATGACAGCCATGTTTAGTGCAGTACATGAATAACTTTGCTGGAACATGTTACCTCCTAGATGCAGATTACCACAATCAATGTCTGTCTATTTGTACTTCAGTGTCGCTTCTATTCATTATTAATCTTTAAATTTTATTGTGTTTACTTAATTTTTGTATTGTATTCTGTGTATTTCAATTTACATATTGTCTTAGTGTATTGACCTGTTAAGTAGTAAGTGCGTTGTGTTATGTTTTCAAATTAAGTTTGCGGTATAATAGTAAATACATATATAGAGCTCTCGGCTAGTACCATGAAATATTGTGTGCAAATGTTTTGTAACAGTTTCTAGTATTGTGCAAAATGTAACAGTTTCTAACAAATATTCGTGGCCGCAGAACCAACTTTCTGATAAGCACATTGTATATTGATTGTTATTTTGTAGTATTCGCCATTTTATTTCAGTGTATGTACAGTATTCCATTAAGTATCTTGTATAATTTTTTTCTATTAATGTGGAGTATAATAGTTTAGGGTCGTATAATGATAAGTAAGTGTGATGTATAATAGTAGTATTGAACCAGACTTTCTTGGTTGTAGAACTTTGTAATATGTATTGAAATGTTTTGCTGGATTTAATGTTTTGAAATGACTCGTATTCTAACTCTGCTACAATATATTATCTTCCTAATTTTCACTGTGACTGGTTTCCAAAGTTATTGTCTAGTGTTCTTTTAATTAGTTTTAGCTTTACAGTACAGCATCATGTACAGAATTGTCTACTTTTTTGTTATGAGCAGTGTATATGTTGTCTTTTATTTGTAGTATCAGCTTTACTATGTCAGTGTGTACTTTTCTGATGCGAGCAGTGAATATGGTGTGTTTTATTTGTAGTATCAGTTTTACTATGTTAGTGTGTTGTTCAGTATTATAGTAATATATTGCATAATACTTTTTTTTAGTAATGTGCGGAATTTTAGTAAGTGTATAATAGTAAGTCATTGTGATGTATAACTGCAGGCTTGAAATTCCATTGTTAGTCTTAAACTTTACTGTTTTTGTTTTACCCTTACCAGTGTTGTATCAATGCAGCTTTGTACTTCTAAGTATTTTTTTTTTTTTAATCTATGCTATCAGGAATGTCATATGTCAAGGTAGTCCTTTGTATTCCCTATCTAGATGTGACTCTTTAATCTTTTTTTTTTTTTTTTTAATTTAGACTTAATAATACCGTTATGGCTCTGCAAGGCGGACGTTCATACTGCAAGGGCTTGTTCCCGGTCAGTAGCCTCCTTCGCATGTAAATAAAAAATAAAAAAAGTGAGAAAATGACAGAGAGGTTGTTGAAAAAAAATTCGATTGACAGTTAGTCGGTATTCTCGACACAGCAATTACAGGATTCGAACAGTGGAACTTTGTAAATGAACAAGAATTATATCTGTTTATAGAATTAAAATAGAAGTATTAGCACAAACGAAGCAACGTAAACACTTACATTGAAAGAAATGTTTAATAAAGTAAAAAAATAATATTAAAGCTTTTTATTTGTAAATTTTGATACCCTTTAGATCATAATTGGCTCTTATTTCATAATTACGGTTTCATATTTTTAATTTATAATTTCTGCATGCCATCTTACCAGATTTAAATTGGTGATCTATAATCTGGAAAAACCCTAATCCGGAATCGCCGAAGTCCGAACGAGTCCGGATTACGGACTTTGTATATATACCCACTCCGTTACTGGCTGCGTGAGCTCTTTTTTTTTTCAATCTTACATGTTGGGTAGTGATTAAATTACGTTGCTTTTTGTTCCGGTTAAGCTATTTATGTCTTTAGCTAATCTGCATGTAATAATTGTGGAATTGGTTTGGTTTATTGGCTTATTTAATTATTGAAAAGCAAACTAGGGCTGTCTTCCTAAGGGGAGGAATGCCTTCATGGAGGACTTTCTAAGGAAAACTGGCTCGTATACATGTTACACATGGGGAAAACCACGAAAACGCCCATGCAGCCAGCCCGTTCGCGGGATTCGAACCTCGGACCGAACTACCAGTGTTCAGCGATTTTACCGCTCGGCCGCTGGTGGGCAATAGTTGTGGAATTATCAACAATTTAAAAGTTGCTTAAGTGGTACAAGCCTAACGAGGCCGCCATTTGTTATTGAATTTCTTAGTAGAATAGTGAATTAAGTCAGTTTGGGCACCAACTTCAGTGTCTTTTTGGCAAGTGAGAGCAAAAGTAAACTTTAATTTTGCTCGCCAATAAATCTGTCTTCCTACCTGCTGGCTGAATTGCTTGCTTTTACGTAGGAACTCTCCGATTTTAATTATATTTAAAACTATACTTGGTGTTTTATGTTTTTTCTGTTTTTACAAATTTTAATAAAGATGTTTTGAATTTTTATATATGTTTTTTTGCGTCGCCATAAGTGAGAACTAAATTAATTGAATGAGAAATGTTCTCTCTAGGAAATTCGAGGAATAAGTTAAAAATTTTTATAATGTAATAGGTTGTACAAAGAAGTCGTGTGGTATCTATATCAGATACACAGGGATTTTTTCGTGACGTTTGTATACGTAGGTACATATATATGTATTTAGCATAACTTAAAAACGATTAGTAGAACGTTGAAATTTTGTATATGGGACTGGTATAACATGTAGTTGTGGTTAGGTCTAGGTTATTTTGTTGCAATCGGCTGCACCAAACGTACATACACTGCTCGACATTGAAAATGCAACACCAAGAAAGAGTGGTCAGAAATTTATGTAAATTTTAGAGTAGACGCACGTCATTGAGTTATGCGAATGATGTGAAATGCGCAGCTCTCCGACGCACATGAAATAAGATATAAGGGAAGGAACGTGAAGAATGGGCAATATTCGTGTCGTTATTTCTGCCAGACGAATTATGGTGATGAAATTTGGAAAAAAGACAGAGACAGCAAGCATCAATAAGTGATCTTTATTTCAGAATGATAGTCAAAATACAGAGCGAGAACGGCGTCGGCTCAGTAGGATGTAGGACCACCGCAGGCAGCGATGCACAAAGAAACACGTCTAGGCATAGAGTCAATAAGAGTGCGGATGGTGTCCTGAGGGATGTCTCTCCATTCCCTTTCAACCATTTGCCACAGTTCGTCTTCTGAACGAGGCAGGGGCAGCGTCTGCAAACGGCGTCCAATCACATCCCACACATGTTTGATTGGTGATAGGTCAGGAGAGTACGGTGGCCAGGGAACATCGGTATACCTTGCTGAGCATGTTGGCAGATGCGAGCACTGTGTGGTCGAGCGTTATTCCTGCTGAAAAATTGCATTAGGCAGCTCCCTGAAGGTAGGGGATTGCCACCGGCTGCAGTACATTATCCAAGTATCGTTGGGTTGTCATAATAGTGCCCTGAATACGCGAACTAGAGGTGAACCTGGAATCATAGGCAATAGTGCCCCAAACCATTATGCCACGTTGTCGCGCAGTAGGGCATTCCACAGTTACTGCCGTATTAGATCTGTCTCCACGTCGACGCCACACACATATGCGGCGACTGTCACTGGATAAACAGAAGCTTGACTCATCTGAGAATACGACGTTTCGCCATTCTGTCATCCACATCGCTCCATTTCGGCACCATTCTAAACGCTGGCGTCTATGCTGTGGGGATCAATGGCAGTCTTCTTAATGGACGCCGTGAGTGCAAGCCACGTTCAAACCAATCGACGGAAATAGTTCTGGTCGACACGGGAAACTCCAGGGTATCTTGCACATACTGCAGAATCGCGGTACAAGTGACTTGCGCCACCGCCACAGCTTATCGACGGCTGCGTCGATCGACGCGTGCTGACGTCACTCTGGTTGCACCTGCACCCCTCCTTCTTCCCACATATCCTTGTTCCAACCACGTTCGCCATACCCGATACACCGTGCTCGCATCCATGTGGGTATCAGCTGCGATTTGACGAACACGAACACGACAGACACGAAGAGAACACTTTGCCAACTCCCCCCTAGAAAGAATGTAAGTTACTTAATACCATTTCTGGCCTTTATATCTTCATGTACATTCACTGATCTTATTTATATTATTTTCTATATTATTTTTATATTGTCTTTGATTTGTTTTTACAAAGTTTGCATTATTTATCTTATTTTGTAATCTTCTATGTTTATTTCAACTTTACTTTGAATTCGATTTCATAATGACAATTTCCAATGTTTAATTTCTACAAATAATATTGTACTCAAATGCATAAACATGAAACGGTTACTCGAGTTAAATAGGATTTCTCTACAGTAATTGATTTTTACTCCAAATTGAATTGACTAAAATGCTTCATAAGAATAAGTTCTTTGAGTACCAGCATTGGTTCATAATTCCTTCTATTCGCGGAAATATTTGGCCTGACTAGAATTGCCGGTTTGGCTTTAACTTATAACTCGAGTAAAGATGAAACACTTTCGTACTTACGTATTTTTATCAATTATTGTTCATTGAACGGGAGTTGGTTTGTTCCCCTTGAAAAGTCAACTAATTTTCGATCAATGACAATGATTACATGTTTTAATTTTTCCTTTTACAATTGAAATTTTATTCTTCATGATGATTTAACTTCAGTCTCCGTTAAAACATTAGTAACATTTTACTTTCAAATTACTTCAAAACATCTTTTAAAATATAACTTACCAGTATGGATTCACACTTTTAAAATAATTCTACTTTAATTAAACTTAGGAGATAATATAATCAATTAATTAATACTGTTTAGGAAATAAATTATTATTAACTAACTTTGCAGCAATTGCGCAAGTGGTAATAACCTGTATTCACACTAAATGGATTTAAGATCATACAACATTATATATATATATATATATATATATATAATAATAAAAAAGCTAGGTAGTAAGTACTATATAAAAAGACCAATTTGGTCTAAAAATGTTTTGCGCAATATGCTGCAAAATTAAGGAAATGAGAAGAGAAATTGTAGTTAGCTACTAGCTAAAAGGTTACCAGGAGCTGTGGTTCCAAGAAAAAGTTCAACACAGTTTTTTTAAAAAGACAATGACATTTAAGGGTGAAAAATTAGGCTACACGCGAAATAAAATGTAAAATATAAAACACAGTAAAATACTAATCATTGGAAACAGGTTAATGGCAAAAAATACAGTAAAATACCTATCGATGTGATAAGTGAAAAGTTAAAGCATATAAAAAAACCGATCGAAGGAACAAGTTAAAACAAATAAAAACATATGAAAAAACATAAAAAATTATAAAAATTATAAAGCGGAAAATGGTAAATTAGCTCAATTCGATATCCAACCTGGCTTTTCAAGGGAAATTTCTGGTTAAACGTCGAACCAAGCTAACTTCATTACGCGTTTCGCCGAAACAGACAATTGAAACTTTTGTGTTACGAAAATTTTTAATAATTAGATGAATTGTCCTAAAAAATTTTTTTAGTCTCAATTCTCTATTCCAATTTCCCGACGCGTCCGCACAAAATGACACATTAAGGTGTAAAAAAATGTAAATGCAACTCCGATGTACAGCAATAATTAAAATAAAAATAAATAGCGGTCTGCTATTAGTCAAAATATACAATAACGTACGGGCTGGACCTGCAAGCTTAAAGAATTAAACCTTTATAAATTTTAGAAATTTGAAATTAAATTTAAATGAAAACAAACACAGTGGTTCTTGCTAATACTAAGAAAAAAATTTATTTTAAAAGAAACATAAAAAAAAGATCTGTGGCTATGCAGTCCTCTCGATTGTGAAGCAAAGCTGAAAAGGGGTTGTACGAGGGCTATCCAGAAAGTAGATTACGTTTTGGAATAAAAAAATAAACAAAGTATAGGAAACAAATTTTATTATATACAGATGAAAGCCACACTCAAATACTACTTTTCTACATAGTCACCATACAAATTAAGGCATTTATCGTAGCGATGTACGAGCTTGGAAATTTCCCTTCGTCGAAAAATTCGGCCGCCTGCGCCTTCAACCACTTCGTTACCCTCTTCTTGCCTTCCATCTTGCACAAAACTTGTGGTAACCAAGCTTTTCGCTGATGATTTCGTGCAACAAACTTCGCGAAATTTTGTGGAAAACTCAAAGAAAGTTCCGTTATTTGTGAAATTTCGATTTTCACGGACTTTAGCATCGACTTTTTCGAGACGTTCGGCGGTCACTATGCTGGGTCTCCCACTTCGATCTTCGTCGTGAACATTGGTTCGGCCATTTTGAAATCTTATGACCACTGACGCACTCCACCTTCAGTGATAGGTTGTCCCCATACACTTCACGAAGCTGCCGATAGATTTCTATCGGTTTACAGTTTTTTGCAGTCAGAAACCCTTATTACTGAGCGCACTCGCAGCTCGCGGGATTTTCAATTAACGCAGACATTTCAAACCGTCACAGTATCTGAACGGAGCACAGCACGAACCTCTCACTAGCACGGCTAGATGCAGACTGAGCTGCGCAACGCTCTGACCCCAAGATGGTCGCGCTAGCCCCGCCCCTAGCGGACACAGACGGAAACGTAATCTACTTCCTGGATGGCCCTCGTAATTCCCCTCTGTGTCCTTCAACGCTCTCCCACTCGTCGTGGGATGTAAGGAGGGTAAACAATGTCACTGAGCAACAGCCAATGTGATAAGACTGTCCGTTGGCGGGAACTCGTCCCCTAGAACTAAAAAAGGGGTGGAAAGAATCGGAAAGACGTGGAAAGATTTCAAAATGGCGTCAGTCAAGTGCTTTGAGGAATAAAACTGTTTCTAAAAGTGAAAATGACTAATTCAGCTAAAATTACTTAACATGGCCACAAAAGTAAGAGTAAAATGGAAAAAACAGTCATTTGTTAATAAAAGTCGTAATTCTTCAAGCTACAATGAAAAACGAAAAGGCCTGATTTGTTAATAAAAGTAGTAGAATTGGCCATCAAAGTAATTTAAAACTATTTAAACAATAGTATTAAAAGTATTGTGCCAAAATTTTTGGAGGAAAGAAAGAAAACGTAGTGACAAGAATTATCTGTACATTTTTACATTACATTATCAGAATCAGCCACCCACTTTATAGCGTCCCATTGGGCTTTAAGTATAAAATATCACTATCTAACTCAAAAAATCTAAAAATTGGTAAGGCTAATGCCAGCCTTTTTTTAGGATATTTTTAATTATTTTTTGAGAAATTAGTCACGAAGTATAGTATTTCTTCTTGAAGGTGTTTTGTTGTATTGCAGATTCTTTTTATTCTAAGTAGCTGTGGATAAATTGTGTTTAGGATGATTCTTTTGAAAATATTTGAATTCCAGTTGGTTAATTTTAGTGTTGAAAAATTGAATTCTCTTCTTTTGTCGTAAACTTTTATAAAATTGTTATATATATATATATATCATTTGATGGCTGCGAATCATGATTTTGATTATTTTTTATCTTTATTGATTATTTTATATATCTGTTATTGATTTGATTATATATATATATGTATGTAGGGTCATCCACACATGGAGTACAAGATAAGTGGAAACTAATCTAACTTATTTATGAATTTCCTAAGATGGAATGAAAAGATGATAAAAGATGAAATAAACATTATATCTGGTAACAGATGAAATTGACATAAACGATATGATGACCCCACAAGGATTTGGAAGCCCATGATAGAATCCGCATAATACTGAATAATTCTCGCACACCATCAGTCTCTAACAATTCTCTAAGATCCAACCATTGCCATGATTCGACTTGCACATAAACCTCGAGAGAGTATGTCTACATTCCTCCATGGCTAGATCTTCGTCAAGATCTTCGTCTTGGACCCGGAATCAAGGCCTCGAAGGAACCCATCTGTTCCCGATTCCCGACCAGGTCTGGTACTCTTCTGCGTCTGGGTGTCGTCTTCACAGCTCTACTGCCGTGCAAGCTGCGCTGCGTTGGCGGCAGATAACGTCACACCTCGTTGGATATTCACTGAGTATATCCCACATCTGGGTTCGCCCTCGGCTGTCTATGGGGTAATTTAAAAAGAAAAAAAAATCTGAAAGGTTTCAGAATTTAAATTGAGTCCAAAGGGCCTTTTTTTAATGTTTTCTGTGTTACCTTTATTTATTAAATATCATGTTCTTTGCACTTAAACCATAAAATTCAGTTCAACAGCAATGCCGCAAAATAATTTTAAAATGAGCATATCTTTAAAATTTCCGATACACAATTCCCCGCGCTGGAGATAAAAAGGTTTGCTCCACCCCGTAGAGTGCTGCCATTGCTCGCTTTGAAATACTTGACCGGTGTTTTATCACAATGCGAGAAACATACATACATTTATGTAGATTCTTCATTATTTAATTTCTTCAAATATAATACAGGGCGATAGTATTTGGTGGCAACGATTTGAAAAGTGATATATCCTTTTAAAGTTTTCAACGCAAAATCACAAAAAGAAAACAATAGTCCTTCAGGGACAAAGCCCCTTTGGACTAAAAAACGAAAAAAGAGTATCAGGTCCTAAAATTTGAGATGGCACAATCATCAATCACTGGACCATGGTTTCATATGGTCAGCCGCAGTAGCTGTCGTATTAGGTCCTTCATGGCATCCTACTTTCTTTACTTCGTATCTATCATTTGGTTTAATAGCTGTACCTTTGTAAGGTCCGTGAAATTTAGGTCGTAGTTTCAAACCAGTCCCATACTAAGTTCGCTGAATGGCTACTAAATCACAAGTCTTATACAATATGGGTTTCTTTCTTTTTTTGTTAAATTGTTTACAATTCTCTTGTTGTAGCTTCAATGCTTTTCGCATCTTCCCTCATTTCATCATGTTCCTGCATTAATTCAGTTAAATATTCTTATTCAATATTTCTCTAATCCTCAGTTCTTCTTTATTTTTCATTTTCGTACCTATGAAGCAGTTCAAACGGTGAATACTTTGTGCTTCTCCTGTTTGTCTATTGATTATTCTTTGAACATCTGAAACATATTAAAGCCATTTTATTGAATCTTCACATGAAAACTTTGACAAAACAGGGATCAAAATCCTATGGATTCGCTCAATCTGTCCATTCCCTCTTGGTATACCGTTAGTAATTTTGATATGCTCTATGCCTTCTTCGGTACAATAAGTTGCAAATTCTTTCGATGTAAAGGCAATAACTTGGACAGAAATGATTCTGGGGGTCGGGATTTTCAAATACTGTTGTTGCCTCAATTTTGCAATGATTTCTTGCGCAGCTGGGGATTTCACTGGATAGAACCAAGTAAATTTCGTAAAAGCGTTGATCACGGTTAAAATGTCCTGGTATCCCTTGTTCATTGATGGAAGCGGCCCAACAAAGTCGACATGATATGTACTTAAGGGAACGTTTTCCTTCGTTGGAGGATGAAGAAATCCTTCTGCTTTTCATTGCTTCTTGTACACTCTATGCAGTTCGCAATTACCTTTCCAACTATGGAATATAGGAATATAGAATTCTTGCTCTACAGGATTGACAGTTTTCTCTACGGAAAAATGGCCTCTTTTATGTATCTTCTGTATGATTTCGTTTTGTAATGGTTCTGGCTCTACTAGCAGATCTTTTCCATTTTTCAATTTATGCAAAATACCATTTCTAAGAGAAAATTTGTTTTCTTCTCCTTTCTCGACTAAATCAATTTCACATGCTCATCTTCCTTCTGTTGTGCTAAACGAATGTTCTCGGTTATATCGGTAGTGTATGATGTTAAAGCATTCCTACTTAAAGCGTCAGTATGTTTCATGGCTTCCAGAACGATGTACAATTTCGTAATCGAATTCATTGCCCATATTGCAATCTTGGGAGTTAAATCTTTCTTATCTGAAGTTTTCTGAAAAGCGCTACAATCGGTTACAGTTCTGAATTTAGAATCTAACAACTAGTTTCTAAACTTTTTAAGAGCTTCTAATTCGTAACTACAGAGTTTCGCTTGCTGCGGTGTAGTTTCCTTGCTCATACACTAAATTGGGTGATAACTGCCATCTCCAGACAATTATAGTAGTACAGCACCAAAGCCTTGGCTACTAGCATTGGTATGAAGTTCTAGTGTATAAATATTCTAACAAAGGCACGGAAAAGCGGCAGTTAAACTAATCCAGGGTGTTGAAGAAAGGAGGGTGCAGTCACCCCGCTCGTTTGAAAATCCCTCTAAATTACATTTAAACACGGTGGTAATAAAAAAATTGGCCTTAATAGTCATCCAAATTTTGCTAAGTAATGTGCTAACACAGGCCTTCGTAGACACGGGCGCAAGCAAATTTTTATCTGAAAATTTTGTTCGAAAACGTTTAAAAAGATATCGATTATTTAGCATAGAAAATACTAAAATCATTGTAGCTCAGGAAAAGAAGTGAACACCTATAGGCAAAGCCACATGTAATGCCCAAGTTAAAAATGAGTCTTAAAAAAAGTACTTTTTGTTGTTAGAAATTTTCAGACCGTGGTCTTTCTAGGTATAGATTTCCTCAAGACAGCTGAAGCTGAGCTTAACTTCCGGGAAGAAACTCTAATATTCCAAATGAAACCCAGGCCCAAGGAACCTATGGAACAACCTGTATTGGACCTGAGCCACATGCAACCTGAAGAGAGATTTCCTGATTTATTTTCTGAGAATCCAGAAATTATTTATTTTCTGAGAATCCAAATTGTTCAGCATGAAATAGAACTAAAGAATAACAAACCGTAAAATCCAAACCATACAGGTTTGATCGAGTGCGGGAAGAGATCATTGAACAGCATATTCAGGATATGCTTAGAAAAAAAATAATTACTCTTATCATTGTTCCCTATGCTAGCCCATTAGTTTTATGCCGAAAAAAGCATGACTTGCCTCCCACGAAATTCAAATCAGGGCGATTTGCTATTGACTATAGAAAGCTAAATAGTTTAACTATATACCCCGTTTATTCACTGCCTATAATTAAAGAAATAACAAGGAAGATTAAATAAACTAAATTTATGAACAAGCTTCATCTCAACTAAGGGTGTTTTCAGATAGCTGTAAAAACCGAATGTAACCGATATACCGAAAATTGCCTTTATAACAACATCAGGGACTTATGCTTTTCACAGAATGCCCCACATAGAATGGCTTGTGTGTAGCCCCGGTAACCTAACCCGGTAACTATCGAACATTCATAAAGGATGCACAGATTAGCCTAACCGCTGTTAAAATTAAAGCGAAAGAAAGCAGGGTTTTTTTCGTCAGCTGACATTAACAATTTTGGGAAAGTTTGGTAAATTTAAAACTGCGTTAATACAAGCACCGGTTGTAAAATTTCCGGAGGGGAAGAAAACCTTGAAATTTCGGCGGATACCTCAGATTACGCTGTAGGCGCTGTTTTGATGCAGAATAATCAGCCCGTGGCATATTTTTCCAAAACACAGCGTAATTACACGGCTGAAAAGAGAAAAATATTATGTATACTTGTAGCGGTGCAGAAGTTCAGAGTATATGTCGGTAAAGTACCGATAACGGTATATTCAGAACATATTGCTCTGGGTCAATTATACTCCGGGACAAACTTGTCTCCGTGGTTAATCACATAGGCCTTGAAATTACAAGAATACAATTTAATAATTAAACATAACCCGGAAAAGGCAATGCTGTAGAGAATGCCGAAGAGGGAAAAGAAATAAAATGTTGTATGTTAACGTCGAAAATCTTGAACTCCTGCGACACTATCATTGTCGAATTAAAAACTCATCCAGAATTTAGATATATTTATGCATACTTGCAAGACCCGAAAAACTTTGAACATTCGAATATAGTGGTCATTAGAAACAGAGCAGAAAATTATGATAAAATTAATAAACTCTTATTTTATACTAAAGCAATAAATGAGAAGGGGATTAAGACCAGCCAATTTGCGGCTTGGCATTTTGCAAGAATTGCATGATGCACATACTGCAGACCACCTTGGCATTAGAAAAACGGTAAAGAGACAATGTGAAGCGAAAAAGGGAGTCTTTTTCCCCCAAACTTAAAAAATTTGTTACGTAATATGTCAGGTTCTGACATACGTACCAATTAGTTAACAATGTAAATTATAGCCCGACCAGGTATTTAAATAGCGCAAGAACTAGTTTTCCAAATGAATTAATAGGAATAGATTCTTTAGACTCATACCCAAAAAAGTGGAAGTAATAAAAATAGATATCTACTCCTTATTGTCGATCGTTTCTCGAAGTGAGTAGAAAAGAGCCTCTTTTCGAAGACCTATGTGCAGGACTTTGCATATGCCACTTAAAGATGGTCTTTTATCAACCAAAATCTAGCATCGCCGAACGCGTAAACAGAAATATTGTAAAAATTATTCACAGTTATTTAAAAATTTACCGCCCACACTGGGATGAAAAGTTTTCTTTTCTGGAACTACAATTACAAAGGAATCGAGAGTGGTGCTAACCATAAAAAAGACGTCGACATGACGAGCGAAAAGAAAACATCAAAGGAAAATGGGGCCAGCACAAAAGAGTAGTAAGGCGGCGAGAAAGGATAGCAGACGGATACCCCATAGGAGATCCAGCAAGCGGCGGACGGATAAACAAAGCCAGTTAAGAAATCAGAGCCCTGGATTTCAAGTGTCAAGGAAGGAGGTCAGTGACCGTACGGCAGGGCAAATTCCACATGAGAAACTAGCATTTGAAGGAGAATCTCCCCAGAGCAAGAAACTGCTGAGGAACCAGGGGACTCCTACGATTGACCCGAGCGGAGCAAGCAGCTTCGACGGCCTGATACCACAAGCTCCTAGAGGCTCCAGATGCTGTTCAACGCCAAAAAAAGGTAGTATGGGAGAGAAGTGCAGGCCATAAAAGGAAACAGTCGATAGACGAGGAAGGAAATGGCGGCGCAAGGCAGTGGATAAGGGTTCGACGAATCAACCAAGTCCCTTCCTGGAAAGAATTTGTATAGAAAATAATGACAGATTTCGTCAGACGAAAAAGTCCAAGCTATTCTAACTTTACTCTAAATTCTAAATTTAAGTACGAATTGGTTGAAAATATTTCTTTTAGTTGTTGCCTTGATAGAGGACAATTTTATTTTTTATTAAGCAAGAAGCTTTATATTGTGTATTAGAAAGAAGCTTTCTTATTTCCTCATTAAGTAAGAAGCTTTATGCATTTCTAGCAAGTTTTTTTTTCTTTAAATAAGAACGAGATGTTCGCTTTTAGATCACAGCGACACAGTTTATAAAATGTTTGCATGTTTTGCAGTTTAGTGAAGCAATTTCGTTACTTGCTAATTTGAAATTTTGTTGCATGGAATTAATTTGAAATTGTTTTCAGCTAAGGTAAGTAAAGAAATTGTATATGTAAAAGATTTTGCTAGCTGTTTAAATACCAAAATTATTTTGCATATTTGTAAACAGAAATAAATGTGTATGAATGAAAGAGTTGAATCAAGCTAATAGCTGATGTGCGGTAAAATTTGTAAGGTATATTTTAATTTTATAACAGTTATTTTAATTTCGAAACCCTTTCCTTTCAATTCTTGTTTGTACCGTACCAGAATGAGTTTTAGATAACCGTACCAGAACGAATGAATACCAGAATAATATACACATAACCGTACCAGAATGAGTGTTTAGAATCGTACTGATTGCAAATGAGTTAGAAGAAGTTTTTAAGGAAGGTTAGCTTCCTGAAATCAAAATCAACGAAATTACAATTCGACGGAAAAAGAAACTCTCGTCGTTTTATTAGCAGTGCAGAAATTTCGTGTATGCTTTGGAAGCTCCCCGGTGATTGTCTATTCAGACCATGCAGCAGTTGGTCGCTTGTATTCCAGAAAAAATCTTTCACCTCGGTTTATACGCTAGACGTTAAAGCTGCAGGAATATAATCTCATAATTAAACACACGCCGGGAAAAGAAAATGCTGTTGACGATGCCGTGTCAAGAATTAAGATTGATGAAGAGGGTAATACGATATTAACCTCGAAAATAATTGAGTCCCGTGATACGTTCATTACAGAATTGAAAACGGACACTGAATTTAAGAACATATATGCATATCTCGAAGACCCCGAAAATTTCGAGCATGTGGAACATTGCGGCAATTAAGAGGCCGTTGCGTTGACTTTCCCTTGCCGCTGCACACACCGCCATGCACGTTTCCAATGACGTCGTGCGCATTCGACCTGGGATCTGACAGACTCCTTTTCACCAATGAGTCCCGTTTCGAACTGAGTTCCGATGACCAGCGAAGACGTGTCTGGAGATATCCAACACAGCGGTGGGATACTCATCTAACTGTCGTTCATCACACAGTTCGACAACCAAGAGTTATGACATGGGGTGCCATTTCATTTGATAGCCGGATTCCTTTGCTTGCCATCCGTGATACCGTAACAGCACGGCAGTACGTAGACAAGATTCTACACCCCATAGTGTTGCCTTTTTTCCATGATCTCTGGGCTTATATTTCAATAGGATAATGACCGGCCACACAGAGCACGCCTTTCTACTGCCTGTTATTGTGCTTCTCCAACACTTCCTTGGCTGGCGCGATCACCAGATTTCTTCCCAATAGAGCACGTCTGGGCTCTCATGAGCAGGCGTCTTCACTGATCAAACTCGACAGATGGAACGTGTATGGCAAGCAATTTTGCAGGAGGACATCCGTCAACTTTACGCGTCAATGCCCCAGTCGGATAACAGCTTACATCAGAGCCATATGTGGGGCAATGCATTTTTGACTTTTTCCTGGCCCTATTTCCTGAATTAAATATTCAATTCCTATGATACTGTTCGCCCTTCGTTTTCAATTTATGTACATCACATCTACAGATTTTTATCTCATTCGCATAAATGCTTCTTTGTACTCCGCTTTTTATGTTACAGAGTGTAAATATAAATTTTAAAATTAAAAATCATTACAGGTTATTTATTACATTAGTGGTTGGTTAATTCATTTTTCCATCGACCCCCAAATTGGAATCGATGTCTGACAATATCATACCAATTCATGTGATCTATATCGACCCATTCAGAGAACGTTTTCGTGAAGAGTCTCAGAAAGGGCGTTATTTTGTGCTTGGTTTGTTAATTAGGTGGTTTATTGCTTTTTTAATGCATGGTGCACGGTTTGAAAGTTTTTAAAATTATTATACGCATAATGTGATTTGAAAAAATAAATTACTGACTGCTAAACAAGAGTGTTGTAGCTAGTTGTTTCACATTTTAATCATGCTTCAAAAATAAAACTACCGTTTGTTTGAATAACGTGCAACAACCACAGTTTGACCAGGCCTAGTATATAAATTCGAATATCAGTTAAAACTAAAATTTAACTATACTTAAAAATCCCATCTCTGATGTAATTCATGATGAATTGCTTTAAAATAATAAATCTGAAATCCGTTGAACTTTTTATTAAAATGTGTATGTGTGTTACTGTAAAACCCCGATGTCTGGTAAATTCTAGGTTTTACCGGGAAAACCTAGAAAACCACTTTTACCAAAGTGGTTTGGTAAAAGTCCGAAGTATACTTTAACATGATTCCATTTCGGACTTTTACCAAGCCTTTGCGGTAAGCCCTAGAAGTTACCAACACCTTCCGGTTAAAAGCCCGAAACGAGGGTTTACTTATAATAGGATTTTACATTCGCAAGTATATTGTATACAGTGTCTCCCAAAAAGTTACAACACACTGTAACTTTTTAATTGATAATATAAATTGTA